TCTTCAACAGAATGTCTTTCGAGGTGTTCCATGTTTCTGATTGCAGTTCGACTCGGCAACCAAATGACAGATCTGACTGGCTATCCAACCGGCTGCATAGGACTAAGCGTTTAGTTGTGCATCTGGTCTGTCGTCCGTGAAGTTCTCCGCCATCTCCGTAGAGTTGCCATAATCGTCTGTTGAGGCGTCAGCGGCGATTTCGAAGCCAGACTTGGATAGCTCTTCGGGTTAATTTGAATGCTGCAGTAATTTAATTACTCACGTTCGATCGGTCTTCGGGAAGCGGAAGAAGGATCTTCCACCAAATCGCATAAACTTGTTTTTGCAGTGGTAGGCAGCACATGGCATGCCTGCCACCTCCAAGTATGCGCTGGTGTATGCCCGGAGGCGGCCGATTGATCAACAAACGATGACCCCATAGCAGACTTTGACCGCGTACACAAATCAAATCCGAATAGAAATGTATACCGGGCTTGAAAGTTTTATAATAAATATTAAAAAGCACACAGGAATATTTCGGATCAGAAACTCAATCGAAGGCGAAAATAGGAGGTTAAGACAGACGACAGTGGAAGGAAGCAACTACAACCGCAACAAAGTTGCAGGCGGCCCTCAAAATGTCCGGGCATGGCATAGGAGACATGCGAAGGAAAGAGTCAAAACTAAGCCAAACAAGGCAAATCAAAACATACGATGGTTCGAACGTTAAGTAAACAAAAGAGGGAAAAATGCATAAAGGCAGGAGGAAGAAAGAACGCGGCGGCGTAGCGTCGCCTCACACATAAAAAGAAAGTAGATTTTGAAAAGTGGAAGGTGCCGGCCTTTATTGTAAAATACGCTGAGGACGTTAGTCATCAAGGCACTAACGATCGAAATTTGTGCACCGTATATACCGTGACCAAAATCATCTTTATTTACGCTTCAACGCTCTCCTCTTTTTTTTTTTCTTTTTTCTCTTGCACGCGCGACAAGTCTGCTTTTTTTAACTCCGCTTTTATGAATTTCAGCAATAGCGTCAAATTGGGATGTGCACAACCCACTTCTTCCAGGGCATATTGACATTGCAGTAACGTACGTGGTTCGAAAGTGCCTTTAGCTTTTTCATCCAGAGACGATCTTCCGGAGACAACAAAACTTTTTCATCCGGAGACAACAAAACAAATTTATTGATAATAAAGGTGAAACGAGGCTATATTCAGAAATTTGTGTACATTCCTTTTTTGGAAAAACTGCGCAAAGGTACATGCGTGTTTTGCCCGCCTTACATAAGTTGTGGCAAAGCGTTTTCTTTATGAGAGCCCAAAATTGCACCCTAAAAACTGTAACATCTCCACGTAAAGAAAATGTGCCTCACACATGAAGCGCTACCAATTTTTCCACATTCGAAGCGGCGAATACCTGTGACAATTTTTTTTCATTGGTCACCTCGCACAGAGATAGGCAAAACCAACGCGCTGCGGCCAATTCGTCTGCGAGCACAGACTCGGAGCTCGCCAGGGGCGCTGCGATCACTTTTCGCCGCGCACCGAGGGAGTTCCCAGTATTGGCTTACGTGGTATTTGCTTTTATGAGGTTTTATATGAATATTAGGGCAAAATTTGTAGTCGCCAGTAATTGTTCAGAAAGCTATTAGATTACACAAACAACGTGCCAATCTCTGTCGACTGCTTCAATCGACGAGATTCGCCTGCTCGACTGTTCCGAATCGCTGTCGTCATACTTCAAAATACCCGTATTCACTTAAAAGACCTCTCAACTCGAACAGAGTTTCTTCTGAGAAGGTTTTAAAAACATAAGTAACTTTAGCGAGCAAGAGTATATTTGTCGTGAGATGTCATCTGCTTTCCTTTGGAAACAAAAATGATGCCTCAAACGTAATGTATAAACCTTTGTATGGATCAAATATATAAGCACGGCATCGAACCAAACCTTTCTGACTGTTTGCACGACGGTGTGGTCCAAATTGGCTACTCGTGGGAAGTGGAAGTGAACGGAGGATAGAAGGGTGATAAAAGAGTGTTCTTCCTTTAAAACTTCAGTCTAGGAAAGATTCACATCAGAACCCAAAAATTTCTCACCATTCCTTGAAAATTCCACCGAAGTTTGGTCATCCAAAATATAGTACAAATGAGAAAAAGCTCTCGTTTTTACGTTATAACAAACGGGTTCGACGCATTTGCTAGTGTCAAGCAATGGTCGCCGGTAGTGCCACTCGACTCCAGAAAAGCAAGCCTCGATCCGCGATCCAGCCAACTACAATAAACATCAGTGATGGAGAAGCAAAAAAATAAGCGTAGTCAAAATCAAAGGAACATTCTCAAAAAATAATGTTTCATCGAACGGAATGTTTAGGTTGTTTCTAAATGCGAACTGAAACTGCACCTTCGCGAAAATCATTATCCTGGTTATCCTTCTCGTCACAACCACTCCTATGAAGTTCCCAGCTTTGCGTTCACCACGCCTCCTAGCTTCGATATTACAAACCTGTATGCAGACGAAGAGCAGACCGGTGTAGGAGACAGCAAACACACGGCCGCCCCCATCATGGTCTTTCTTTTAAGTTTTACTACGTCTGAGTTGAGGTTTTAAAAAGGTACACATAAACCTTTTTGAAAAACAACGTTCGCGTGCTCAGTTTTAAGTAAATACGTTTGGAACAGGAATTTTGCCACGCGTGCCAAATGTGCTCATCCGTACGGACTCACCATGCATTTGTTTGTTTAAGTACTTCCTAAGGCTCCAGTGGGGCATTACATAGAGATGGCATTGTAAATAACATTTCAATATTTATATAAAATATAATATTGCAAAATATGGGATTCCTCCGAAGCGATTATCAAAAGATAAATTCACAAGGAATAGACGACTCATTGCAAACAGATTAGAAAATTTTACAAAAAAGATATATGAAGTGCTGCTGCCAAACAAGCGATAAACAGGTTTACAAGCTGTGATTCGCAGTTGAAAGTCACGCAGTAGAAGTAATCGTGACTTCTGGTTAGAGCTAGTTCACTTGACAACTCATTCCAGTAAGTTAGAACTTACACCAGCTCGCCTTCCAGTAAGTTGTGGTCAGAAGTAATGGAAAATATTTTAACGAGTTAATTCTGCCAAAGGGAATGTAAACTTTGTTTGGGCAATAATCACAATAAAAATGCGAGTGGGTGGTAGAATGGTTACCTCTACGAAATTGAGGGGACCTATGAAATAGTTTGTGCAAATGGGACAACCTTTCTGGATGTTATCTCTGATGCGCTCTGAAAGGCCGTCCCTTTGGGGTGGTCAAACGTCACGACACATATAAAGACCCCTGGTGTCAAAATGACGAACCCATATGTAGTCAAACATCCCGTGGTCAAAAGTAACTACCTCACACAATAACATAGCGGCCGGTAAGCGACCGCCAACCCTTTAGAAAGAATAGGGCGCATATTCCTATTTGACGCCTTCCACGTGCCATTGGGCACTTTAAACATCCATTTCCAAAGTTTGGTATTGTACCTATATTAGTTCACTAAGGACGACAATGTGAGTGCCCGAATCACCAGGACTTCCCTCGACGGCGTCTCGTTAAATTGGCTGTATTTCTACAAAATAAAAAAAAAACGCCCCCCCCCCCCTTCCCGAAAAAAAAAATCATTATACACGAGGAATGGGGAGGGTGACTAAAATTAACGCAACGTATGCTTGCCGTGACCGACGATGAATCGCTGTGCACATTCTATGGACACCGACCAGATGCGTTGCACCTGCACCGACGCTACCGCTATTCATTTTTATTTTTCGAACGCTTCCTGTTTGCGCCCATCTTTGCCGACATGAGTTATCCATCCGCGCGTGTGTATACCTGCACTTCGCAGGTCTTGTACACAGAACGCTCATTCAGGGAGCAGGATTGCACGATTATCACGATGTTATCGAACCATGGACACCAGCTGTTTCAGTTGCTTCTGTAACACAAAATAGAGAGGAAAGCTCGATGCTCAGCTTCTCGAATTAGGCGACAGCTAGGCCGCCTACTGTTCATGCACCAACATCCATTACGTGGTATTCTCTCAACGTGCTGATTCGATTTTTCCAGTGAGCTCCACCGTTGCGCCGCCATCTTGGAGGTCAAGCTCTGCGTGTTCTTCGTAAGGTGGCTTTGGCGATCGACTGAAAGAAAGAGAAACGCTGAAAGAAACGGTCAAATGAGAGGCGACACGCACTGCTGCCAACCAGGCAGGAGAACGAGACCTCCAAGATGGCGGCCGTGGTGGTCGATGCCAGCTCACCTAGCGAATGACGTCATGTGAATGGCACCTAGAGTGAAATTACTGCAGTAATCGCTACATGGGCTAAAGAAAAAATATATTTGTGAAACGATAACTATGGATCAAACGCTTATTAAAAGTTTCATCCATTTTTTGGGGGCATACTTCCCTTCTTTGCACAAAAGCATATTAAAGTCAGTTTCGGGTTGCCCGTGCGAACATTCACATTCACGTGGATTTAAGTCCCAGTTTTGAAAAATGGTTAGAAACCAAAGCATTTATTTTCTAAACATTACAGATGCAAGTTGACAATCGGTCAAATCAATTAAGTTCCCATTAAGAGAACACGTCAACGAGGCATTGTCTTCTTCATTTCGTTCTTAAGATATGCTAATCTCATGGTTTGGTAGCAGGAGGAAGTTGGAATAGTGTTTTGGGTTGTCGAAATTTCGCAACAGCTAGATACGTCGCAAGCATCTTGACGAGGTAGATTGCGTAGTCGGTGAGCTTCTACTGCTTGTGTATTTCCCTTCCATTAATCCATTTGGCGCTTTCTAATTGTTTCATGTTCACCGCAGTGTTTATTTTCTAGTTCTTTGCACCTGCCTTGGGTCAACAAACGCTGTCCGGAAGGAAGTGCGAAAACACATTTAACAATATTAAAACAGAAGAAAAAAAATCCGTTGAAAGATAAAGCAGAGTTCGAAGCGTACATCGAGCCACGCTCCTCACGAGAGAAGTCGTAAAATGAAAACATACATATTGGTTTTGGTAATCTTCTACTTAACACACAACTCTGCATCTTTTCCTCGCTTAACCGGTAAGTATCTCACATGCGTTAATGAACTGTATCTGAGATCTGGAGCGTTTTCACAACTAGGAGGATGGAAACCATTGTAAAGTTCAAGATTATACAGCTACATTATGCTTAATTTGCAATATTCGACGTATTTAAAGTGGAGTTTGTTGTGATCTATAATGTAAACCATATTTCCATTTAAGCATCTTACGAGCGAGTTCGATTCAAAATTATTTTCTCTACTTAGCAATGAATAGAGACTTTTTTTTTTAAATCCGGCTAGCTTTTTGTTTTACATCCCGGAGCCCAATTAAATGTATTGATCGCCTATTCTTTTTCTACAAAGAATGAGCTCACACTAAATCCACGTAACCATTACCAATAAGATGCTTCAAATCCCTTTCGTTCAGAGAACTGTGGACTTGTTACAACAACGCCAGACTCTGTGATAAGCGAACGCATTTTGAACGGCACAAACGCAACTCTTGGCGCTTGGCCATGGATGGTTGAAATTTTACATGATGGCAGACACCATTGCGGTGGAGCCCTGATAACCACCCAACATGTGCTAACGAGTGCTCACTGTCTAACGTAAGCAATTTTAGATATATTATTCTGTAAGGTTCTCACTGAATAAATCCCAAAGCAGCCTAAAATAGTTCATTTAGGTATAAAAATCATATCAGATCATATCAGAATTAAATATCCCTTTCAATCCGTTATAGACAACGTACATCTGACTGGGAAAACATTATATTCCTAAGACTGAGTGGAGAAGAAAAATATGTAATCGAGGGTGTGTGTCAGTTGACGGCACTTAAAAGACACATGGCATTGATAGCACATTCATTGTCAACAGCGCGTGGCCGAACCGTTTTGACATGAGCCGGTAACCGTTATTTTTTTTCCGGTTCAGTTCCGGTTCGGGCTCATCGCGATAACAATATAACGGTTCGGGTTCGGGTTCAGTTCCGGAAAAAATACCGGTTCGGTTCCGGTTTTTGGTTCAGTTCGGTTCCGGTTTGACACCCTGATATATATATATCTATACTCTATGTGAAGACATGCAGCACGGCGAACGCGTGGACGCGATCACGCAGATAAAGTTTTGCTTGCGTGTTCCCGAGTGACTTCAGCCAACAGCGGTTCCGCCGTCCATATGGCGCAATTAAGGAAGAAAGAAAGGGAGACAATTTGTCTCGTTCCCAAGGCACGCGCTCTTCCCGCACAGGGCGTCTGCAATGATCTTGACGAACTCTGTCTCGAACACCGCGCCAGATATCTCTCCGCTTCATCGCGTTTGTAAAACTGATATTGCTGCCTTTGAGGTTGGGTGCCTGAAACGCGTCTCCGACTGGTGTGTTTAGCGTCCTATCCTGCCCGTACATCAAAAGCGGTCCCGAAATGGCGAAAAATGGTGCCATATTTCCCGGAGTGTCATTCTGTCGGATGTCGCGATCCTCGCGGTTGGTCGTACAAATGCTGGTAAAAACCACAAGCGAACGCGAATGTCGCTGTCACCACGGCGTCCGAACTCCCTGCTGCCGAAGTTTCCAAGAACTGTCACACTGGAGAGCGACCTGCAGCAGGACAGGCGTTTGCCATATACACCACACCTGCTGGGACACTGCCAAGATCGAGACAGGCGACAGCAACAGACTGCTATGCCGTCATCGGGCGGAAATCGGGGAACTACTTTTTTGCACCCTAGTCGGAGACGCGTTTCCGGCGCCGTAGTTGAGGCTGAAAACGAGAGTCAAGCAATCTCCAAGGAACACGCGTAGCCCAAGTGTCAAGTTCTACGTACCGTGGAGCATCCAGAAAACGACTTTATGAAAGAGCGTGTCTCCAACAAAGAACCATATGAGACCAGGTTCGCGACGGGCTACCATTAGCTTTCATTAGCCGCATATCGAAGAGTTATCTGGCGGCGCCGCACGGCAACCAAGACGAGCAGAGGGCTACATCTGGCAGCTGCGGCGCGCGTGGTGTCCACACCATATATTTGCTCTTGAAGTCCCAAGCCACCAAGCTTGATCTTAATTGGACCGTAAAAATCGATGCCTGCACGTAGCAATCTAAACCTTTCGTCCAAGGTGTAGTTCACAGGTCGATTTTTTCTTGTAAAATTACAGCATAGCATAGCTCTCGTTTTGTAAAATATAGGGCCAAGAAACTCGCCAGGGTCAACGACGGGCGGCGACGCAGACGACCAAGTGCGGTGGTGGGTCCCGCTTGGCGCTCGTATTGATAGATGACGCTACCTCTTAACCAAGACCGCCCGCGACCACCGCGGTTTATTAAAATTAACATAATATTTTTGTATATATTTATTTGCAACCACCATTGCAACCAGGATGAAGAACTGAGAAATGAACAGAATTTCATGAGGTGAAGCGCGACACATCGTACGGATATTGATCACACAACGCGCGACCAAACGTGAAAGGTAAATAAAACATGACAGCGTAGTTTCGATATAAACACCAAACTCCAAATGCAGGCGTAGCAGAGCACAATCCCAAATAAACCCTTTGGAAGTAAAGTTGATACACTACGGCCCATCCCGCTGCTCCCGAGTCTCGAAATGGACGTCTGCCAGAGACTCCCGCATACGAGAGCCAAGAAAGCTGGAGCAATTCACAGTCTGTAGGCAGCTAGCCCTGCGGCCATCTCCAATCTTGGCCCTGCTCCCTGGGTCAGCCGGATTGTCACTTCGTCGTCCTCGTCACACGTCGCTTCCTCGGGCCAAGTTCGTCGCTGCCTCATTTGCCTCGGGGGAGTGCCTTCGCCCCTCTAACCAGGTGCCTCGTGTGATAAACATCTTCTTGGACCCCACAACTGCTGCTGCGAACCAGTAAAGGCCGCGTACCCAGTTAAGGCCCCAAAAACCAACCTACCGGCCCAGCAGATAGGCCCAGTTCGTTTAAGCGAGACCTCTTGCGCTTAACGTCGCATCGACGCGGCCACGGAAAAGGATTTTGCGACCATCGCTGATTTCCTCGAACACACATAATTCTAGACTGAACTGCAATCGATTCACAGCACATTGGCGCGAAAAAAGATTCACCACATTTCCTACGCAGCCCTGGAGCCCGTTTTCCACTGTGTCCACTTTTCTCTCCTAGCGGTCCAAACGGTCAAAACTGTTGGCACGATGTTGGCACGACAAAAGCAGGAAGGGTGAGGTGGGCGAGAGGCGGCGTCAAAGCTGAACGGCTTTGGCTCAGCCCCTCCCCTTCTCAATGATCTGCTATGGCCGTTCACCAGGCAAAAAAGAACCCCCCCCACCCCCCTTGCTGGCGCCATGTTGTACAATTTTGACCACTAGACACGCGACCGCACCAAATCCTGAGGCTTTTACGCAAAACAGAGCAGAGATTTTGTTTTGCGATAATTGTAAAAAACATTAACTATTTTTCAATACTGTTAGCCCCAGAGATCAGTGTCTAGTTTGTGGAAATTCTCTTTCTGCTACCCGTCTTGTGATTCACTGTTAGCATATTACAGCTATTACTGTATGACTGTCAGTATGCGGCTGTATAGCGTCTCAACCAAAAACGTCGCCACAAGTTTGTCGAACCGTTTTTGAGAAACGGGAACTTGATGCATACGTTCGATCTTCATCTACTTCAGCAAAGTCGCGTCGGGAAAGTCGGTTGTAGTCTCGGTCTTTCGTTTCTTTGAACGCACCTAGATCTCTGATAGCTTCTGCGAATGGAAGAACTGGCGGAAAATAAGAAACAAATTAGGACTGATGCGAAGCACCCCTGTTAATTTCTAGTTATCAGTGGTGTGGTACAACGAAATAATAACTTAAAAAATCGCATCACAAATTAGGACAGAAAAAACTGTTTATATAAATCGCAAGTTTAAACAAATATCAAATAGGCGTGTTCATATATAGCTGAAATGACTTATTTACCCTCCTTCTGAAATATACAAGTAAACTCAATTAAGCCGTTTTCGAAGTGTTTTCGCTAGCTTACATTAATGAACACTGTTAGATATAGTTGAAAACCTATGCGATTAACAAAACAATTTCTAAAGGAGGGTGCGTTCTTTTGCTTACCAAAACTTAACCCCGACATTTTCACGTAAAAAAAGTAAGTTTCATTGAAGAATGGAACTTACTTTTTCCCGTAAAAAAGCAAGTTCCATTGAAGAATAACTTACCTTAATATGCTTTTTCATATTAGAGTTCGACGTACCTGGTGGGCTCAGCAGTTCGAGTTTCGGAATACAGACTACACATGCAAACACCAAATTGTCTGAGTTCGTTCACCTTAGTTCAAACACAGCACTTAGCCCGGGCCATAGTAACGGAGTTTCGGTGGTCATTGCCATCTGGCACGAAAAGTGAGTGGGAGATGGCAGTAAAAGTGGCATTTATAACAAGCATTCTAAAACGGCCTTGTTGATTAGAGGCGGACGTTACATTACAGAGACAACTGTTCAGTATATGGACTGCTGACAAACAATCGCCAAGCCGGTTTTAGTAACGGTCGGTTTATGCTACACAAGCAACAAAAAGAGGACACCGATCGCTTATTATAACCAAATATGATTGGGAGTGATTTAAAACGAAGTATAGCGCCAGCCGTGCTTTGGTTAGAATCACATGCGTACTCGTAGTACCTTTACGTGCGTATATGACAAAACAAGGTGCCTATCGTTTATAAGCTCTTTAACCTAAGTTTCTCTTTCACGGCCGAACACCTTTTTCTTATTTTTAATACCGGCAGCCGCAGCAAAGTAAGGGCTAAGCAGACGATTGCCTTCACTGTCACTGCTGCGAATGTGTCTCTCTAGATGAAAGGTACGGTAGCCTTCGCAAACACAGCCAGGAACTGCGATAAGGAAAAGGCGGGCGCAACGTCCAGCAATAGATAATTCGTTCTTTCAATGCCAAAAAGTTGGGGATATGCCTTCTAGTGGAAAACTACGGTATTTATGTCTGACGAACTACGATACAAAGAAGGTGCCGTCTGTGGTGGTGATGCAGTCTTTCGTCTAATCTCTGAGGCGCTATGGGAGAAAGGATGCCCAGAGGATTTAGTGAGAGGCGACCTACTGAACGGGAGTCGTTCTCCAGCGAAATACCGCAACTTTGTACCACGGCGGCAGAGCTGGGATTCAAAAAGATAGTGACTTCTTTCTGGTGACAGTCGCCGTTCAATGCTGCGATAACCTCGCCACTTATTTTGGTTCAAAGCGTGAAACGTCAACGCTCCTAAACTGGGAGTTTATCTTTTCTGTTGTTGACAGAACGAGAATGTGACCATGCAGCTAGAGTAGCTAAGAACGCTAAGGCAAAATCCTTTGAGCGGTGGCAGACTGTAGCAATCTGAACGGATGTCTTTCCAGAGAGACGGCTGCTCCTTCATAGTGCGGCGACGGTGATTTTAGCAGCTTCTCTACAAAGACTGCACAGGGGACGCTTAGTGATTCCGCGCGGCGATAATCTCGCGCCTTTTGGGCCCGGTCGTGGGAACTCTTCCCAAAAAGTTTGAAATGACGCCGTTTAGACATAGCTTTGTTGTGCAAAATAAAAATGATTTTGTTTTCAAAATAATTATGCGGTCATTTTT